TGGTCATGAATCGTGGACCATCACTGAAAAACTTCGAACCCGGGTACAAGCTTCTGAAATGGGCTTTCTGAGACAAGTTGCTGGCCTTACGCCTGACATGATCCGGAATACTGAAATCTGAAAGAGCCTTTGCTTCTCCAGATTGAGAAGTCACAAATGCGAGAGTTTAAGCTTTCAGAAACAAGTAAGGTGAAACAGCTACTGCCAAAAAAGTTCGGGTAAGTGCCCAGACATAGTCTGCTCAAGACTCGGGTTCTCTTTTGCTGAAGCTCAAATGCTGGTACAAATTCGGGAAGATTAGAGAGAATGCATGACACGTGTGTCTGTGCGAGCCGAAATGATAAACCATCAACTAACTGATTAAGTGATTAAGTAACGTACTGTTCTACTTAATTTTCGTATCGGTTACGTGATACTGTTCATAAAACGAATTTAGTGAATTCGGAACGCTGAAGAAATTGCATACGAACGTTTTATTACCTGAATATACAGAGTATGGCCATATTTTTCAGCACACATAAGATATCTCTGCGAAAGTTAAAATTTTTAATAAGGACGTGAGAAAGAAATACGCAACTAAACTGATAATTTTAAAAATAAAGTTTTATCAATTGCTAACCGGTTAAAAGTCTGATAGAACATTCTTTAATCGATCATCATTGGTTTACCTTTCAATCTCGCCGAAAACGTAAATGTCCTGCAAGACTGTAACCGTGGCAGTGTCTTTAAGCATGCCGAAAAGGAGACCCTACCGCATCTGGCCAAAGAACAAACCAAGGCCGGAACCCTGGCCACGAAAATCCTACAGAAGTCGACCATTAGACAACGAACTGCTTGCGAAAAGGCGACCAACGCACATGTTACCAGTCAAACCGAGAGCCGAAACTTGCAACGACCGTTCGAAACTGTGCTAAATCTGACAGTTTACGACGTTTATCGTGAAATGAGCGAATGCGCGCCAGATAAAGCACATAAAGTAACGCAACACAACAAAAAACCTTTACGTTAAGTGGCACGCTTCTACGATAGCTCAACTATACGTTGACAATGTAAGTTGGAACATTCGCTTACAGTAACTACTGATTAAATTGTTTAGGCAGTACTTTTAGGACGGAGGTACTTACTATACTTATAGATCGGCCAGTGTAGTGTTAAACAAGTACATACCTACCTTTCTTTCCGGAAAGATCGACCCGTAAGTTACGGTATATGTTACATTTTTTGCTTTAATTTAGATTACGGAAACGTACCAAATTTTTAATGAGCGTAAACCCGTTATATACGTATCGGCGGCGGACCGTTGTGCCAGCCGGAAGAATATTACGAACGTAAGCCACAACGGTTATGAACGTAAACCAAAAAATCCTAACGTAGCAGTTCGAGTGCATAGTTCTGCTAGATGGCTGTCCTTAAATATTCAGTCACAGCATGGTAGAACAGCCACGTTATTCTAATGTTAGAAAATACTCGTGAGCTAGAGGCTGACATTGCTTTCTACTAAGTGATGCTCATTTTTGACCAAGCCGCCGCCTTCCAATCACAGGACAGTTAGAATAACTGGATCAGATTTTATTATAGTCCACCAGAGCCTCGATAGAAACTATTTTGGGGTTTACGACAGGCTCTTAAAGCTACCACGCCAGTTAAACAGAGGTAAATGTCGCCATTAGTTTAATTGAGAAAAGAATTTCGAGTACGGCAGGTCTCGAACCTGCAAGCCTAAACCTGAACCATGCAAGCCACACAGCTCTTCACCGTGTCGAAAAATTTCTTATTTCTATCGTTTTCCGCTCCCTAACAAGGACGAGATGAATGCTTTCAGTAAATATAGAGAACGGAGAAGTAAAGAAATAAACATTTGAAAAATGACCAAAAAACTGAAAATAAAATAAAGAATCAGAGAAAAAAAGTTTGGATTCCATCCTCGATAACATTTTCTTGAATGGGCGTCGTTTTTAGCGTTCTTTTTTCATCGAACTTTATAGCGCTGCTGCACACAAAATTTCATGGCCATTTCATTAGTTATGAATGCCTTGAAAATCATTGGGGCTTGTTCAAAATTTGCTTTTCTGCTCAACTTTATGACTCTGGGAAAATTGTGTGCAATATAAAGTGTCTTTTACTCTTTGATTATTTATTCGGCAGTTATTTCAGTAGGCTGATTATTTATAGTGTAATGAATAGTTTTCCTGTCGCAGTAATTTTCGTAAATGTACAATCGTTTATTTTGTCACTTGGCTTTTTATAATGATCAATCTGTACCAACAGCAGAATTCTTCGGTGATCTTTTCAATGTTCAATCAGCAAGGTAAGAAATTTCATTGCTATGTTTTGTACCAGGGGAATAGCGTTTTGGAACGCAGAATTTGTACCGCACGATAAAATAACAGTTACGGTAGAAGAACTATCGAGTAACGCTATGAAAGTTTTGTTGAAGCGATAAAGGATATATTTTTGTGTGGCATATTTATCATATGGGTTTATACTAGGTTAACATAACTGTAGTTATTTTTTAACGTAAATTTAATATCGTTGAAGGTTGTATATAGCGAAAGTTGTCCAGCAGATATCAGCACATTAAACACCGCGGTCTGCATAACTAACGCTGACTCTCATGCAGATATGGAAAGGCAGTTTTAATATTTAAATATAATGAAAGTCGAAATGTTTTACTGCCCGTTGCATTAAAGTAACCCCTGATATGTAACTGTGGAAAGAGATAACGATTCGTTGCCTTCTTAAATGTCATTGATTCATTTTCTTCGGTCTGTGGTTCAGAGTAACAGTTTATAAAGGATGTTGTAGGTTTCAGCGTTTTCCCACCATACTGCCCTATTAGCCATGCATCATCAACAGATGCAGCATTTAACTTTTAGCTAAATTTAAAAAAAACTTATCTCATTCTTACAACAACAACAACTTATTCTTGCCTCATTCTTATCTTCATTGGAGCTAACCTTTATGATATCTTTCTAGAGGAGGTACTAATATAATGCTGAGATTCTTGCTTGGAACCAAAGCTAAGCTCATTTTTAATGCTTTCTCTAAATTTGCTTATTGTTTTCGTGCACTGGTGGTCATACTGAAAAATTGCGACGCAACTAATTTCACAAATCGCTGATTAACCAGTACCGACGTATCATCCAGCTGAACAAATTGTTTGCAGTGTATATAAATAAATCATGTTTTATACGGTACCGGTATAAACATCCGCAACCAACATCGCTTAATCTTTCTAAGAAGCCAAAGTGTCCGACATCTTTAATCTGGTTACTCTGTCCTTGACTCTGATAACTCAAGTTACCGTGTTTTTATGTTGCTTTTTCTAAGTTCCTCCTCCTTTAATTAATCCATTCCTATTTGCTTTTTGGCATTTGCGGATGTCAGATGAAACAAGCCTGATTCTCCTGCACCCGATGTACTCCTTTTCGACGCATTAAGACCACGGTTAAAGAGTGGCCCTCCTTCGAAGAGTTCGCAAAAAATGAATTCGATGAAGTAGATGATGTTTTGCATGTAAAGCACGGGCTGCTCTTAGGCTTGAATTTTAGTTCGTAAATGCTTTCGTATTTCGCTATAGGTTCGAAACTTATTTTGGCCTTTTGAAAGCCATATTTAAATCTACTTTGCATTGATCTTGGTTTTATTCTTTCTAAGGTTGGTTTGTTTGAATCACACGGAGAGTGGTAGCAAGTGTAGTTCAGTAGCAGAGGCGGGCTTCGGACCAGAGATGCTAAGTTCCATTGCGTATAATCGACGGCCTTTGTCTTAACCGCGAATTCCCATGAGCAAAGATTTTTTTACCCGAAGTTGCTTCAGTGTAGCTAACGGAGTAAAAAGTATCAAGAGATTCACTTGCAACCTACACGCACAGTATGGAGTTTTGGTATGGTCATACCTGAATGGGCAAGAGATATGACTGAGCATAAGACTGCAGTTCGCCTTTACTCACC